CAAAGTTCGGTGTCAAGGCCAAACATGACCTCTGTGAGGGCCCTGGAACTGTCTCCTGAGCCATGCCGTCCTTCTCACACACCTCCCCTCCTGATGCTGGGGAATCTGACCCCCTGGGGAATAGGCAACGTGCCATCTGACAGATGGGAACGAGGGTGAGCAGGCCAGGGACCACGGAAGAGTAAGAAATACATTTACTGAGGCCAGTGTTCCCAGCTGGGACGCCGAAGCAGCTGTCTGCATTGACCTAAAGCTAATAAGTCAGGGGTGAAAAAAGATGCAATTTCTAAACACGACTGAATCAGATACATCATTCCAGTTTTGTGAGTAATGATGGAAGCCGCTCACTGGCAAAGAAGCATCACCCGTCACCGGGTTAGAGAAAGAGGAAGCGGTTCTGCTTGGACTCCCATCAGAGTAAACCCAGCACAGCAGCGAAATAAGGTCAACACAGCCTCCTCCTGCAAAAGGGGAGCACAGAGGCTCGCCCAGGCCTCCCTTCAAAACCCTGCAAACACGTTCTGGATGTCACTAGTGTCCATTCTGAGGTGAGGAGGCTGGCCGTATGGCGGCATTAGCTCCTTCTGCAGGTCCATTTTGTTTGATTTCCCTCGTTACCCACCTCCCAGGGAAAAGATGCCGCCAGGATGACCAGCATCCTCATGAAATTTGGGGAATGACTTCAGATTTGTCTGGGGGGTGGAGTGGGGGGGTCTGCCTGGTCTGATTTTACCATTACCACAATGCTGTCGAGCGTTCTGCATTTCCTGGCAATAGAGTTGGCTGAAGAATCTGCCATCTGTCATGGCATTTAAAAGATAAAAATGGAATCATAAATAGCGCCAGCTCCTCAGGAAAAAAAAAAAAAAAAGTCCAGCCGGCATGTCAAAATGGAGGACATTAACATGTTCTTTCAGGACCCAGCCGCCAGCAGCTGAAGTCAGCTTGCTAATCGCTCCATGTCATCTGTCCTAGCGTGGGCTGCCAAATCTCTCTTCCAGGCCAGCAGCACCAAACAATGCAGGGGAAATTTATGATTCACAAAATATTTTTGCAGAAGGTAAAATCCAACCATTAAACCCCATTTAATTAATGCTGCCACATCTTACATTAAAAAAGAGAAAGGGGGAAAATTCTCTACCATAGAATTCATCGCTTTTACCCAGCCAAATTCCTTGCCAAATTTAACGGCAGGCAACATAAATTTAGGTGATTAGATTGGTTGCATATATTTAATTTTTAAAAAGCACCATGATCACACTTTCATTAAAACAGGCGCTCGGCTTTGGTTTCAAGCCACCTGACAAACAACACAGCAGCCCATGATTGGGTGAGTGAAATGACAAGATTAAAATGTGGATCCTGGGCAGATGCGAGGCTCTTCCATTATAAATATGTAAAACTGCTGGCCCCAGATCAGAAGGACACATTGAGAGGCTCCCTTTGCACAAACAGAGTCTCCACACATTTTTGATACAAGAAAGGTAGAGCGCAAAGAATACTTCATTTGAAATAAGCTCTCAGCCCCCAAGTGGGCTGTGATGCACAATTGTTATGTCAATTGGGCGACTTCCTTTGCCTCTTTGGAATGTTAGGATTCTGTGCACAACCTAGTAACAAGTGTATCCTTCTCGAGATGGTGGTTGGAGGCCTACAGGAAAGACATACAGAAAGCGTTTGGTGCCCTGCCCCAGGGGATATGGGTGTTCAGACAAGAGGAGTATGCCCACAGGTAAATGAAGGCACTGGAATACAGGAATGCTTTCCGCCCTGTGTGTCGGTAGCCCTGTTTTTCAATCCTGAGACACTCAAAGGCCATCTTGGTGAAGCCCACATGCCTGTCCTACCTTCACTCTTAGAATTTGCTGTTTTGATCTGCTTTTTATTTATTTATTTATTTTTGCTTACCCTATTTTTCTATTTAAGCAAATGTATTTAGAAAGAAAACGTTTAACTCTAAAGCCAGAAATATTTACATATTAAAAATGTCAATTCCATAAATGCTACAAAAAATATATACAAGAAATCAATTTCGTAAATCCTGGGTAGATGTTCCTCAAGGGCACAGGGACTGGGGATAATATTCTTTGTTAAAGAAAGGAAACTAAATATGAAGAGCTCTTAGGGGACAGCTGCACAAACCCAGGACCTCCCCAGGAACCACTCTGAAGGCTGAGTGAGCCAGCGGGGGGCCAGCCTCTTACTCTCTGGTCCTGTGTTTCCATGATGTGTCTTCCTCCATCAGCCAACACAGTTTCAGACCTTTGTATCACTAAAGACCCAGCCACTGGCTCTAAGAAATCAGACCACACATTTCTGCCCAAGAAAACCTTCAAAGACACTCAGGGTGCAAAACCAAGTAGAAAACAGAATGTCAAGAAACAAAACAACGTGAAGTCTAATTAGCTCCTTGAGGTGAGGACCCCGGAGGCCTGTGGGACCAGCCCCTAGTTCTCTTTGTCTCCAGGAGGGTCTGGCAGGGCTTCTGGAAATTCTCACAGAGGTTCGGAACACACTCAGAGCAACAGGCAGACAGCTCGGGGATGCTGGTCCTGAGGTATCAGATTCTTAAAGAGCCTCTTAAAGATAGATTCCAGCTGGGACTGGAGTTACCCAAACTGGCACAAGGCCCAAGACTTTGAATTTTGCTCCCAGGTAACTCAGCGATGAGCTAAAGAAAGTAGATACTCCTAGGAGAACTAGCTTTAAAACGCCAGCTAAGGTGACTTTGGCTGGTAGGAGTCGAGCATTGCATTGGCTCACTGGTCCTCAAGTGAGGGACTTGGGTTTGGGTTTTCCCATCTTAGCATCTCACCTTCACTTCCCTACATCTGTGTGCATTTGCTCACTGATCCCTCCGGCAGCCGTTAATGTCCAAAGCTGACAGTCCTGTGGGCATTGACTGGACTAGCGGGAATGGAGAAAAGCAAGAGGCCCCGGAAATGCACATAAAGCCAAAGGCCCTGGTTCCAATAGGCATGCATTAGACCAAGGAGCACCCACGTCCCTTAGCAAACAGAGGCAATAGCAAGCACCACTTCTGTCTGAACCTCCCTTATTCCTCCATGATCATGCTCACTACTGCAAAGACGGGAGGTGAGACGGTGGCCATGTTAAGACTAGGGTAACAATGGCAACGCCAGTATAGCACCAATGACAGATAGTGCCAACGCATCCTATGTGCCCGATGTTGTATGCACCTCGCAGGCCTAATTCATCTGAACCTCCCGATGACGAGGCTTGGCAAGTACAGTGAGCACTATCCAGGCCCATAGACGGAGGAGCAACAATACAAGTCACCATGTAACCTGATGAAGTCCATGCAGCTGTGAGTCACACAGGCACTAATAACCCCAAGCCTCTATTTTCACAATGGCAACCTACCACTTAAACACAAGTGCCAGCTAGAAGAAGAACTCTCCCTTCTGATGGTTTCATTAACACCCAACACTGCGCAAGCGCAGACTCAGGAAAGATATTGCTCAATTAAATAATCATCTTCCTGGTTTAGGCCCTCTATAAAGAGACCCGGGGCAGGAAAGATAGATCCACAAGTAAAGGGCTTGATTCGAAAGCGTGAGGACTTAAATTTGAGCCCTAGAACCCACATAAAAGAAGCTGGGTATACTGGTGGGCGCTGGTTATCCAGTGCTGGAGGCAGAGACAGGAAGCTTCCCGGGCTCACTGGCCAGCTAGCCTGGCCTGCAGGGTAAGATCAAGGCTAATAAGAGACCTTGTCTCAAAAACAAGATGGACAGCATTTAAAGAATGACACCCCATGGAGAGAGTGTGAAAAAAGGGAATATTAGTTCATAGCTGTTGGTATTTTTGTTGTTGTTTCACGCTGGACTTAATCTAGGCCATCCCTCAGAAATCACTTTTAAAGCCCAAATGACAAGCAGCAGCATCCTCACCGATGTTTAGACTGCTCACCGCAGCGGGAATCAGACAGGTAAAGTATGACAGAGAAGAGAGGGATTAGAATGTAGGTGCTGTTCTAGGCCACGGGAGTTTATGGGAGTTTATAACCCACTGGATAATACAAGAGGCTGCTCTGCTCATGTTACTTTACAGTGCACTCTGGAAGGTTAAATGGACGTGGTAAACATCTTCCTGGGGATCAGAAGTCCTGTTTATACCGCAGACAAGTTAATGCTTTCTAACTGGTGAAAGCAAGGGGTGGATAGTATACCCATTAGCTAACCCAAGACTGCCCAGTCCTTACGCCTGGGCTGGGCTTCCAATTTTATCAAGGACCACAAGTCCAGCCAGCTTTCCTGTCACTAGACAGAGCCCTCCGAATTTCTCCCGCTTTGTGAGACTAGAAACACGTTTCCACATTCTAAATGAAGGCAGATTTGCAGTAGTGTTGTATCTCTGCCTTTGCACCCCAGATCATTATTCATCCCAATGATTTATTTGAAGCTGAATCCTTGAGCAGGTGCACAGTCCCCAATTATAACACGGTTTCTATGGGGAAATATGATCCACTTTGTGACAACGTGATTTATGATATAGTTACAGGAACATGTTGTGTCAAAAGGCAGAGGCTGCTCATGCCAAATTTATTATGCTAATATGCGCCTTTTTCTCTGATAGAAAAATGCACTCAGAAAGGGGAAATTACATTTCTATGTCTTTCTGGCGTGGGGGTCTTCTCAGTTCTTTGTGTTCCTTTCAGAGAAGAGCTTGCACACAGATCTGCAGATCACACTCAGCTTTTAACCACACGGCCCTGGTTATTTGCATCTATCATTTTTAATGGCGTGTTTCTACCTTTCCTACAGTCAGGAAACAGAAGGAAACACAGCTATAGGAGAGCTGGAAAAGGAGCTAATGTTCTTCCTTTAAAGGGTCACACGGTTTCATGTATCCTTAAGCGATGTAAGATGTTAGAGAAACCTATAGTAAAATGGCCAGTGCTAATTTACTGTCCTCACACATTTTCTCTTCCTAAGCATTCACTGAAGGACGGGTTCAGAAAAATGTCATGGGCTCACCTGAAGCTGTCCCTGGGGACCGCTGCCCTGCTCTTGTGTACATAGCAGACTGTCTGTCCTGTTATGTCCATTTGGCTAAAGCTGGTAATGGGGACTCCGGGATACTGGACGTACTCCACCTGGCCGTACTGTGGTGGGGAAGTGATGAGGTAGAGTAGTTCCTCAGGCTTGTCTGCTCCATCCACAGCCAGGAGAGTGGCAGTCGTCAGGAAACCTCTGTCACCTTGGGCCACCACGAGCGGTTTTGCATAAATGACAATATCACCTGTGTGGCAAGGAGATTCTGGTTAAGATTTGTATTTAGAAATACTCGATGCCCCCCTATTGCTGAAGATACCACACACTTCAGACTCAGGAGGAACTGAGGGAGGATCTGATCTGGATCCAGCTCCTCCAGCCTCCTCCCTGAGGACCCGCTCCCCCAAATGTTAAAGGGACTACACAAGCTGCTGGGGAGAAAAGTAATCATTGGTGTTGCTCAGCGATAAAATCGTTAATTTCTCATCAAAGATGCTTCTTTTTGCCAGAAATGCAACCATTACAGAAATCCACAACTGGTCAAAATGCAGAGAATAACTGCCTTTGGGGCACCCCACCCCAACCCCAATGTATTTATACCATACCACAAGGCTCAGGGAACGTAATGGAAGAGGGGCCAGTAACACTGTAAGTTGGAGGAGCAGAATATCTGCTGAGATAGTGTCTTCTACATACAAGAGAGAAGCTGTACCCGTGAAATCTTAGCACTATGGTTATCTAAACAAGACCTGCAAAACGACAATACCAGCTAACATGCCAATGTGTATGGAGGAAATATCACAAGGCTCAACCCTTGGACGGAGAACTACAGACAATTAATGGCTGTTGGAAGTGGGAGAACCAGTCTGCTCCAGGAATGAGCCCCTGATAAGCTTATCCAGTCCCAAGTGGTCAGACCTAAACACACATACACATGAGCACCATTAAATGGACTCAGCAGATTGAGCGTGGACGTATGTAGCAATAGCAATTACAGAAGAGGCCAATCATGTGAGAGGGAGTGGGAGGTGCAGGGCAGAAATGAAGGAGCTGGAGATGAATGAAAGGGCAGATATACTGCAAATAGAGTGCTTATGTATGACGTTCTCAAAACTTCTTTAAAAATGTGATTCCTGTGATGATTAATCCTCATTGTTAACCTGTTTGGATTTAGGATCTTCATGGAAACACAACTCTGGGTACACCCATTAGAGTGTCCCTGGAAATTTTAACTGCTAAGAACTCACCTCCAACATATGCAGTATCATTAATGGGGTGAGGCCGGAATAAACAAAAAGAGAAATCAAGCCAATTGCCAACATTCAGTCTTCTATTTCCTGACTGTGGATGCAAAATGGGTAGCTAGCTGCCTCCAGTTCCCGCCACCAGGCCTTCCCCACCATAACGCACTGTCCCTTCAGTGTTATGAGCCAAGATAAGGCCCCTTCCCCCGGTTGCTTCTTAGCATTTGATTGCAGCAGCAGAGACTGTAACTAATATGGTGTCCAAAGCAAATAGAAAACACAAAGACCAAACTGCACTCAAGTCAAAGCTAACCTGCTGTGGGAAGGCCTTTCAAACTAACAAGAAAAGAACAGGTCAGGAGGACTGAGCCAACGCGTCACAGAAGAAGCAAAGGGCACACTTTATAATAATACACCTATATTTTATAATGTTTAAGAAAATACGTAGGTGAGTGCATGGCTGAGCGAGACAGAAGGATGAGCACACGCTGACGACGTTGCACAAACCAGGGGCTACACACCACTTCATTTACCGAAGATCCCTTAAAAATGATCCTATCTAAAATATGAAGCTTTGGGTTGGAGATGTAGCTTGCCTGGCACGCACAAGGACCAAGGCTCTATTCTTAACACCACTAAGTAAGTAAACAATACAGATGAGCAGGGCTGCTTCCTGTCAGGCACAGTAGTGGGGCGCTTCTGTGCTCTCAGCTATACTGAGGGGAGGAGCGTTCTCGAAACCCACAGACTGCAGATGAGAAATCGGGGTGTGGAGGTGCTACTTACTGCTAGAGGCTATGTGTTAATAAAAGACAGAGCCAGAAGTGGCTCTAAGTCACCAGCTAGAAGGACAACTCATAACCACTGCACCATGCGGTCCCTTCTCAATAGTCAGCACTGAATGGGCGTCTATGCAACAGGAAAGATAAAATATGTGAAAGAGATTAAAATCACAAAAGCCTCTGGGTATCATGGCACATGCCTTTAATCTCAGCACTACAGAAGCAGAAGAGGCAGGCGGATCTCTGAGTTTGAGGCCAGTCTGGTCTACAGAGTGAGTTGCAGGATGGACAGGGCTACACTGTGAAGCCCTGTCTCAAAAAAAACCAACAAAACAAAACCACAAAACCCAGTTAGCTATTGTCTCTCTGCCACCTGCTTGTGAATGAGATGCAAGCACTCAGCTACTTCTCTAGAGTCATGCTTACCTGCCTGCTGCCAGGCTCCCCATGATGATGGTTATGAGCTAACTGTGGTGATATTTTATTGGTGCTCTAGTAAATAAAGTTTATCTGGAGATCAGAGGAAAAAGCCAGCCACTATATTAAGCATAGAAGTCAGCCAGTGGTAGCACACACCTTTAATCCTAGCATCCGGGAGGCAGAGATCCATCCAGATCTCTGTGAGTTCAAGGCTACACTGGGAAGGGAACAGAGCCAGGCATGGTGGCACATGCTTTTAATCCCAGCACTAACCATAGAGGTCTGGAGGTCTGTACAGACAGACAGGAAGTGATGTAGCTGGGCGGAGAAAGGAAGTGAGACGGCAGAGCAGAGAAGGCATATAGGTGTGTGTACACAGGAAATAACTCTCTTGGCTGAGGAGTTCCTACTGGTAAGAACGTGGCTGGCTTCTTTCTGTTCTGTGATCTCTCGGTTTTCACCCCAATACCTGGCTCCAGGTGTTTTATTAATAAGACTGTTTAGCAATTCGTCTTATAACTAACCCTCTGAAACCGAATGTCCCGCTATCGCCTTGGTCACCGTATCTCTTCACAGCAATCAAAAAGTAATTGACACCAACCTCTTGAGAAAACAAAAGTGAAAACAAAACATCAAGAAGTATATTTATTTCTATGTTTATTTATTCAGTGTGTGTGTGTGTGTGTGTGTGTGTGTGTGTGTGTGTGTGTGCGCGCGCGCTAGTCCCTGCAGAGCCCAGGGGAGGGCATTAGGTCCTCTGGAACTTGAGTTACAGATCGCTATGAGCCATCATGTAGGTATTGGAAACCAAACCCAGGTCCTCTGCAAAAGCAGTAAACGCTCTTAACCATCGAGCCATCTGTCCAACCAAAATCCGGAGATATCTGTGGTTGTCATTAACTGAAGATCCTATCGGCTTCTACGGCAGAGGCCAGCTATGCCATTAAATATACCACAGTTCACAAGGAAATTCCCCACAACAGACATTATTCAAAATGTCAGGAAAATGGCAAGATTATGGAATTCTGTTTCAGATGGCAAAACTGGTATTTGGGGCATACTGAGCTTTTATCTCCAACTGAAAAGCAAGAATCGAAGACTATTCTGAATTCAAATGAAAATCTAAGTTGCAGATGCTCTGAGGCAATGGTGATAAACACACCAATGGCAGCAAGAGAAACAAACAAATGATTGCAGGGGAAGTCAAAATGTCACAGAGCACTGTCCCCAGGGGCAGAGGCACCTCTGGGAGGAGGAAGAGCATCCAGCACTTCAGTACCGGGAAGGCGGAGTACGAGTAGAGTTAAACCTCTGCATCCCAAACATCGCCTAAAGGCATCCTCTCTGCCACTGTGGACATCAGAACACACCATATCACAAGTGGAAGGGTGAAGGTTTTTATAATAGGCCCGAGACAGAAGAACTAAGCATATGTTCTGTATAAAGGAGATGGTATGAGCAGCTACTCAATATGGCTCTACTTAGGATAAGTTACTCTTGGACTGGAGAGATGGCTCAACAGTTAAGAGCACTGGCTCTTCTTTGCAGAGGACCTGGGTTCAGTACCCAGTACCCACATAGAAGTTCACAACCATGTGTAACTCCAATTCCAGGATATCTGTCACCCTCTTCTGGTCTCCACGGGCACCAGGCACATGTGTGATACACAGACATACGTGCAGACAAAGCTCATACACTTGCAATAAAAAATAAAAAATATAAATAGATCCCTTAAAAAGTTATACTTGTGAAGTCATGAGACACATAATAAGCAACTTAGAAGTGTCATATGAAGTAACACAAATGAAAACAACAGGAAAACAAGATACAGTGGCGTACAGTGATAAAACACCATACAAAGAAGCAAGAGAAACTCTGAGCTTCATAAATGTTAGTGGATAAATACACCTGTCTACTTACTGCAGGTTTTCATAACTGCTTTTGAAAATAATTGCTCATCAGCTATGGTGGAGTGCGTGGAGTCATGCTGAAGTTTCCATTGCCCAGCTGCCCTGAGCACAGCCTGTTATTACTGAGCTTCAGCCACTGGGAGGCACGTGAGAAAGGTGAGCTGCCTTCAAGCAGAGTTGATGAGACCCTGGCCCACAAGCTCTTCATCAGCCTCTCCCTTCCTAAGCGACTGTGGCTTCAGAGACAAGGAGGTGACTGGACAGGGGATGCTCCAGGTGCCTGTGGAACGGCTTCCCCTGCGCTCTGAAGCTACGTCAGTAAGAAGATAGCCTGCGCTGACCCCCGCCTGTGCCAAAATGCTAGCAGTCGTCCATGTGCCTGAACACCCTACGTACACGATTGTCCTAGTTAGGTCTCTGTTGCAGCGATAGGACACTGGCCAAACCACGTTGAGCGGGGAAAGGGTTTCAGCTTGCAGGTCACAGTCCGTCACCATCGAGGGAACCCAAGGTAGGAACGGGAAGCAGGAAATGAAGCAGAGCACGTGGAGGGACACTGGTTACTGGCTTGCCCCCATGGCTTGCTCAGCCTGCTTTCTTCTACAAACCAGGACCACCTGGCCAGGGGTGGTGCCATCCACAGTGGGCTGGGCCCTCCCACATCAATCATCAAGAAAATGCCCCGGACTGGCCTACAGCCCAATCTGAGAGAGGCAGTTTCACAGCGGAGGCTCTCCCTCTTCCCAGATGTTATCAAAACCTGACCAGTGATATTTTTACAAAGAGAAGAATGAATGTATTCAGAATCATCTGGCTTATCTATCTAACTGTCTATAGTCACAAAAAAAAATTATAACTGGAAAACACGTAAATAAAATGTAAATGTGTCCCAAAAGAAATATTAACTCATATGATGAAAAATTAATTCAAGACAATTGTAATTATGCTGCACACATAAAATAGTTTTTTTTTAATTGCACTTATATCACTGTATTTAGTTCTGAGCATCCTAGTAACCAAGGCAAAACAAGAAAGCATTCAGTCAATAAAACATAAGGATCAAAGACTGTTAGATATGAAAATGTTGAGAACCTGGGATTGTGAACAAGATACAATTTTCAACCTCCCAGTGTAAGCTGCAGTCGTAAATTATAGCGCAGTGGCAGTTGCGTATCAGGAGCTTACATTCTCCTTTGTTAAACATTTTTCCTTTATGTCTTTGTTTTAGTTTGTTTTGTGTATGTTGCTATTTCGCCTGAGTGTGTTTCTGTGCACCAGGTACATGCCTGACGCCTGTGGAAATCAGGAGAGTCTCTCGGCCTGTAGCACACACGTGTGTGTACTTATACCAGCTCATTTCTACTCACAATCCTGGTCCCAGGAAGCATGGGTAAACACACTCTTACCTTTCCCAGTGTCTTCAATGATGATGTGACAGTCAAACGCGGGTGATCTGTTGTCCCCGTCCCAGAGGTAGAAGGTAAAACTGTCTCCATCCTGGGACTCCATCTTGGCAGTGTGTGTGTATCTCAGCAAGTTCAGGTCCACATCCTCCTGGGTGCACTGCATGCCAGCCGAGAGAGGGACCCAGTCCCTTCCTATCTGAAAAGTGCCACAGTCAGCCGGGCACCCTGGCTTCCCCAGCTCTGTTAGAGGCTACTTCCCCCAGGCCCTGAAAACCTCTGACAGGAACTCTCGGGGGAAATTCTACACTTGTTTCTGCCATGGAACCTGATATTTTTTTCTTTTCAAAGAAATAAATTAAAATAATTCAAGACGTTGGATGAAAAACAGCTTTAGCCAGTGGACTTTTGACAAAGTCATTCAACAGCATTGGTGTTTCTGAGGTATTTATCATCAGTAATCATGGCTGATTAAATATCCCAATTAAGGAGAACAGGTGGGCAATCAGTTACTGGAATGGGCTGCTTAGAAATTAAATGTGTTTCTTTTGGAACTTCCTCTTTTTATTTATTTTAGTTTTTTTTTATTTTTGTACAACTAATAAAACCTCTTTTTCATTTTTGTTTTTGTTTTCAAAGTGGCTTATTTGTTTCCAAGCTCATAGGGTAAGAAAACAAAACAAAACAAAAAAACAGAATGCACTGGCATTTTCACCCAGCCCAATGTCTAGACTTACTAAAACGTAAAGAAAGTTGTCAGATTCTCATCACACCCCCTACACACACACTCATACACACTTACACACACTCTCACACACACACACACACACTCTCATACATTCACACATACACTCACACACAGTCACACATACTCTCACATACACACTTGCACACTTGCACAAACACTAACACACACACACGATCTCACAGTCACACACACTCTCACATACACACAAACACTCTAACACACTCACACATTCACACATTCACTCATTCACACGTAGTCACACATGGTCTCACAGTCACACACACACACACACACACACACACACACAGAGTAGAAAGTATAAACTCTCAGTGCCTCCACAGTTTCCATCAGGATCTTCAAAGCCCAACTCAAGTCAACCTAGTTAGGCATGTGTTTTGCATAGTTTGGGGCAGAAATTGTGGCTATTGTCCTCGTTATTGTGAAAAAAGAGGCTTTTATGATAGCAGACTGGCTAACAACTGGGAAAGTATGAGGGAATAAAATATTAAGCCTATATTGTATTAATAATCCCACTTTAATTCTCCTAAGTTCCAGGCATAGCTTTTCCTAGGAATGGCTCACAAAAGTCATTCAGTATAACTGGAGGAAAATGTCATTTTCAGTGATTCACAACATAAATCACACTGCAGTTTACCTGTCTGGTTGACAGACTAAACCCCATTTAAGTCATTTGTGATTCCTTTCTTGTTGGCCATCCACCCCCAGTTCCCAGCGAGTCTTGGGCTCTCCTCCCACGACATCATCACTTTTCTTGAGCTGTTCTACTTGGTGGGATTTCTTCTTCTTTAATATTTTTGCCCACGTGACATTTGCAGCCCTATGTCTTCCTGAAGTCCCCTGGGGAAAGTTGCTTTTATTGCAGTAGTTAAGCTAGGGTCCTTCTTTTATGGGTCTATTTGCAAACAGAGACTTTCAAATAGATTCTTTTTAAACCAGGCAGCTTAGGATCCTATTTAACTTCTCCTCTTGGTAATATTGTCCTGGAAAATAAATACAGGGGAAGGCATCATTTGCTCGCTTGTTTCTAATTCTTCATTTGCATTCCCAAATATGAATTTGACTTGACAGAATCATCTGATGCCAGAAAAAGGAAAAAAAAAAAAAGAAACTAAAACATAACAACAACACCAACGAAGGGGAGGTAACAAGAAGACAAGAGGCCCTGAGAGTCCAGGAGGCCTGGCGGCCCAGTCCCCAGCCTCAGTCAGCCAGCCTCAGTGAGCCCGGGGGAGGTGTGAGAAAATGGTGTGCAGCCTGCTGGGACCCTGGACCCATCTGGATCTTCTTCTCATATCCGAAGCAACTCAGGCCCCAAGCCACCCAAACGTGTGCGCTCTCACTGTGTTTCTGCTTCATTACGCTTTGAAATGAAATAAGGACACAGCTGTACCTCAATTTAAATCAGTGATTGCTCTTCTCTCTGACTCTCTATGGTACCCGCACTCTGTGACAATCAAGCTGTTCCCCACAGAATGACTCCTCGCTGCTGCTTTTCTATTCTAAAGAGAGCCTGCCTTAGATTAAGACTCAAGCGTTCAGGCAATCACACCGAGGCTGGCTAGGGGTTGTTGCTGGTCTCTCGCCACCATTCAAAGACACATTTTGACCCATGAGTCAGCTGACCTTCTCAAGTGGCTGATCTATGATTCGAGTTGGACTAATCATTAAGCATCATGCCTGCAATCTGAATGGACCGCAAATTTGCTATTACAGGACTAAAAGGAACCAGAAGGGCGTGAGCAAACTGCTGGAAGAGTTAGCACCAGACCCGGAGTGGCTTAACCCTTCGTGTGCCTTCGTGTTTCCATGCTTCTCACTTTCTGTTGAAACAGACCCAGGCATGTTGACAGACGCCATGCAGTTTGCCAGATTCCAATACCGTAGTTCCTAAGATATGACGGCCATCAGGGAGCGGGGTGGGAGAACCCGCACATGAACTGCTTACTCCCTAGATTTTGATTTGAGATTTAATCCTCTCACACATTCGAGTGAGGCCAGGGAGAGAGGCTCCAAAATAAAGACACTAATAAAGACAGATTTTAAATGTGGCCACATTCCTGAGAATGGCATGGCATAGAAAATGAGAGATGCAGAGAGAGCGGCACAGGAACGGGGGTGGGGTGGGGGGGAGCACATTAGAAAGGAGGAAGGAGCAGAAAAGGGAGGGAAGGGGTATTGGAAGGAAGAAAATGAGGAGGGGCAGTGACAGATTTCAAAGGTTTCTGATTATTGAGGAATGCTTAAAAAAAAAAAAAGGAAAAAAGCTAAGTTACGTGGATCAACATGAAAAAAGTCTGGTGGGGAGGTAGGCACCTCAGAATATGCTGGATTCTCCTCAGAAGCCAGCTTGTTCCACCCAGCCAAGTCCTTCCTTTCAAATCTAGGGACAATTCTCAGGAAAAGGAAGCAATGAGGAGCCTTAGTGAGTATTGGTTGAATGTATTACAAGTTGGTAAAGAAAATTCAGAAGGGTATGAGTTCATCCTGGCAAAGGAAATGTTTTACTTTTGAGTGAAAAATATGCCTATTCGAGAATAACTTCAGTTGTATGAATGTATGTGTTGATAAAATTTACACCTAAAGGGCCAGTCTAAGGCTAGACAGATGGCTCAGTGGTTAGGAGCCCATCTACTCTTGCAGAGGATCAGGGTTTGGTTCCCAGCACCCACATCAGACAGCTCACAACCATCTATAAATTCAGCTCCAGAAAACCTGACCTTCATGGGCACCTGTACACATGTGATGCTTATAAATTCACACAGGCACACAAACATCTAAAAAATAATCAATTAGGGGTTAACAAGGTGTCTCAGAGGTTAAGAGCACTGGTTACTCTTCAGAAGTTTTGAGGTTAAGAGCACTGGCTGCTCTTCAGAGGCTTTGCATTCAATTCCCAGCAACCACATGGTGGCTCAGAACCATCTATAATAAGATCTGGTGCCCTCTTCTGGCCTTCAGGAGTACATGCAGGAGGAACACTACATAATAAACAAATCTTTTAAAAACGCAAAAGCACTGAAAATGATAATTATAAGTAATTCAATAATTGTGTTCAAGGGCCACTTACCTTAAGCTGAAGTTGCCCATTTTGGGGAAGTCTTTCAAATAAATAGTGGATCGTCTCCCTGGGTGAGTCTTTATCTATGGCTGAAAGAACAGCACTAGACAGAACACGAGTTTCGCCTACGGCCATTGAGATTTCAGCCTTCCTGTAGAAAGGAAAATGCCTGTGTTGATATGAAAATGGAAGGTACAAGTTCAGCAGGGACACTTATATTGGTTTTCACAGGTCCCACCTTCAAGAATTAAGAAATAATAATTAACATCCAAAGCACTGGAAACTGTGAGTCATATACCAAAGCCTGCAAAGAGGGTGTGAACCAGCAGCCTTGACTAGGGTGCTAGATGAGATGCTTACAGGAGTAGAACTTTACAATTTTTCCAAGTTATATGTAGTTTATATAATGATTTTGCTTCCAGCCTTTCATATAATGCTTGCAATGTCTCCATGTAGAAAGTAGGTCAGATACTATAGTTCTAACTAGACGTACAGAACCCTACTGAAAGCAACTCATACAGTGTCCTAAAGCTCTTCCTGAATGCCCTCCTGACGCTGATACTCTTTGGTTATCTGTGGTCCTCTAATGTCCCCTTCCTCCTCCTGAAAAGGCCCTGGTGTGTGATCTTTACAGGTTCTTCTTCCTGAAGAAGTGGAACTACCAGGCCGGCTCCTGGCATCTGGACAGCAAACTGGAAGCACAAGCAGATGGAGTGGCGGGTGGCTGCAGCTTCCATGAAGAATGGCACCCAAGCGAGGAAGGGATTTCTAGTGTCCACCAGTGTCCCAGCTCTCCACTGTGGTCATAGTGAGATCACATGTAACTACTGGCTGCCTCCACAGCTTTGGTTCTGGGACACAAGGAAGTGCTTGAAGTCCTTGGTCTTGGGTCCAAGGACAGCAAGTCTCACTGAGTGATGTCAGCAGCCACCAGGTCTTCTGCAGAGAAGGCAACATCTGATACTTCGTTCCAGCCGCTCTTATTCAAAAAGGGATCCCTGCTAGCCCAGGACCGGCAACTTCCTGGATCAGAGCAGGAGACTTCAGCCACCTCTCCAATGGAGAGTGTGAACCGCAGGATCCTAGAAGGCTGATGAGCCTGCTGACTGGTGCTTGTGGAGATTAGCAGTGCTTTTTTTTTTTAAGATGAAACAGCCACGTGTCACCACAAGGAAGATGAGGGTGGCAGGAAAAGGGTGTCAGCATTCCGTGTCAGGGGTGACAAGTATCACAGTCTGGGGAAAGGACTGTGTTAGAGATAATTTATCTATAAAGGATTCTGGAAGGAGAAAAATGTGAGCTAGTGAGAATGGAAAGGGAAAGGCGCCGAGGGGTGTTGTTACTGCTGACCGCAGTTTAGACTCAATCCTAATAGACTCTTTTAAGTTTAACTTTTGTTTTTTGAAGAAAGGGGACCCAACTAAGTTGTTCAGGATGTCTCTCACCATTAGATTCAAGACATGCTCTTGCCTCAGCCTCCCAAGTGGCAGATGCACACCACAGTGCCCAGCCAGAATCTTCTGAGGAACCACAGAGAGCATGACCCAGATTAAGCTTCTGGAGGACAGGAAGGTGGAACACTTGTCTTATCTAGTATTTCCCATGGTTATCAACTCTCTGCTCCCATAGTTACCAACCATCTGATCCCATGGATCTGTGTGAGATGATGCAGCTTCCTAAGGAGGAAAGGGAGCCATAGACTGAGCCTCTGAAGTGGAACACTGACCTGAGCTGGGACTCGGGGACAGAAGCACCTACCACAACATCTGAAGGAACCATCAAGGAAATGGGGGCAAGAGCTGGCAAAGACCAAACTACTCTTGGCAGAAATGAACAGGGCGGGCATCAGATTGTCTTTGTGTTTCTGGAATAGTGACAACTGCTTGTAATGATGACTGTGGCCAGCCTTTCAAGCACTTTTACACATCGCCCTTGTAACAATCCTATGAAAAGATGCTCACTAGCATCATCCCGGTCCACTGAGAGGGTAAGGGAGAGCCGGAGAGAAGTGAAGTGGCATGTTGAAGGTCACACCTCTGCTAAGTGGCTGTCTGAGTCACCCAGACTCAAGATTTCTTAACCACTGGGCTACAGAGGGAAAAGGTGGAGATGAAATACAGGAGGAGACAGAGCATGAGAAGGTTCTGGGAGGAAGTAAGAGTTCTACCAAACAACACAGATGGAAGAAAAAAGGGGAACCTCTGCTTCCCTCCTGGGGAGAAAAGGAACGAGGAAGAGAAAGGGAAGGTTAAATGATCAATGTCTGACGTGACAGACAGACCAGCCAAGCAGATCCGATCAATGCACTTCATGAACGTGTAATGAAATGTTGCACTGTGACCCACGAATGTGTTCAATAATTACGATATTTTGTTTTTTTTTACAAAGGAGGGATTCTGAAGCAGGGTTGAGATTTGGGGATTTTGCAGCTGTCACTGTCGCTGGGGTTTAGCAGTGAGGCTGTGACTTTGCAATGGGCAGACTCCTTTACGCCTCTGGTCTTGGTCAGTGGGTGGCTGAGGAATTAATAAAATCAAGTATATGAAGGATTTACTAAAGTGTCTGCCACCTAATAAGTACTTAATAAACATCAGCTTTCATCTTGCTCCCTTCTTCGAGTGATGATGACAAAGAGGTTTGTAACAATATAATATCCTCCCATCCCCACGGTCACAGGTCTTCTCACACAGTCAAGGCTAGATTCAAACTCACTGTGTCACCCAGGCTAGCCTTGAATTCATCCTGCTTCCTCCTGGGTTCCAGGATTACAGCATCTTTCACATTTATACATGAATGCCAAACCAATCTGAATCGTCAATTCCAGGACTGAAAACCAATCTGAATTGCCAGTTCTAGCACCGAAATAAGGAAACAGACATTTCCTATATATTCTTAGTTGAACTGGTATCTGAGAAGCAGTCTTCCCAAACACTATCATCACCATCTTCCATAACACTTTCTACGGAGTGTTAGGCACGCAGAAGGACTGATGAAGACCCGAGAGGGTGAGACAGGGCCTTGTCTACTCTCTTTTCGCTACATAGTCCAGGAGACTTGGGGGTTTAAAGGTTTCCAGGAAGGTGTTCCTAGCCTGATGAAACTCACATAGTCTACTTAGTGCTTAATGGCTACACCATTAAATAATGGGGAGTCTCAGCAGAGACCTCAAGAGACATTCGCATGTCTACAGCTAGCCCTAAAGGCCTGCTGGGCCTCCTGAAGATCCCTGCAGGCTGTGAACTGTGACACTTGACAACGGCAGAGGAAATTGCTGGCACTAGAGAAACGCAACCCTATGCAAGGGAGTTGCCAACCAGCTTTACAGCTCAGAACACTAGCATTCTAAGCAGCAGCATTTTGATACGAGATAGTGGGGTGTTGATCGACATGAGATACAGGTTGACAGAGAAGTACCCAGACGATGCATTTTCCTTGATCACTCTTAGTTAAAAGTTTGATGAAATCTATTAAGAGGACTGTTGGCAGTTAACATCGTCACCCTTCAATTGAGTTATGGACTGCACTTGGTGGGTGGGTGTGTACACATGTGTGTGCGAGCATGCATGCGTGCACACATGCATTGGAGTACAATATGTTCAGATATTTTTATTTTTACAATTAATTTGAACTTTTAGAAGCTCAAATCATTTAAGGACTAACTGTTCGGGTCACATTTCCTAGCATTTACACTGGAAATTCTCGATGCCTGAGTAGTAGGGCAGTTATGGAAGGATGGCCACAATGGAGGCCTTGCTTCTCCCCGTGTACCTAGTGCCCCGGAACTCTGTGGAAACCTTTTTTTTTTTTTTTTTTAGTTTTTCAAGACAGGGTTTCTCTGTGTAGTTTTGCACCTCTCCTGGAACTCACTTTGTAGACCAGGCTGGCCTTGAACTCACAGAGATCCGCCTGCCTCTGCCTCCCGAGTGCTGGGATTAAAGGCGTGCGCCACCACCGCCCGGCTCCCCATGGAAATCTGAAGTGATTCCCTTCAGGCAGCTTACTTGCTCAGCGTTGGTTTCTCATCATTCACTGGGGTGATATTCACTGAAATGGTTTTAAGTATTTTATGTTTCCCATCGGACAACTGGATCACAAAGTTATCAGCAAGGCTCTCCGAGTCGTCATGGACGTAGGCCAGTTTCATTCCTGGAAGAGAAAAAGGAGAGTCCTCCTTCCGGTTGAGCCCTGCGAATGTCGCCGATACTCCTCTTTAACATCAGGCTTTGGGGTTCACATAACTCACTCGTCAGTGCTTTACACGACACCAACTCTGTTTTGTGGAGTCGTGCAGAGCCCATTACATCCCCCTTTTTTAAAATAAGGAAACCCCAGAAACCACAGAAGAACAAAGGTGTTGTAATATTTAAACAAAACTGAGAAAAAGGAATTACGTGTGGAACATTAAAGTGTGATCTATCCAGTCACCCGAGAATCCTAAGTAGTTCAAAACTTCACTATAAAAACTGCCTTGAGCCATGCTTCTTTTAACCCTACCCAGTGGTCTTTGGATATTTAACTGAAAACTTCAATTTATCACCTTCAAAACATACTATAAAGTTCTAGAAATACTAAGAGATGTATGCAAAATGTTTGCTGACATATGACCATTAATGCCAAGAAATGAAAAATGTTTAAAATAGGACACACCTATGAAACATTGCAACATAGTACGTCCGTAGAGTAGAACACTGTCATTGCCGAAGTATTCCAGGTAGTATTTAGAATGTAAATAATGTGATTTTGAGTTACCTAATACGGCAGGGATTTGGTCAATTCTGTATGTTTAGGGGTGGGGTGTTTGTGAGAATATATTCAAATTGTTTGGTTTTATTTTTAATATAGCCATAAATGAACCAAAAATAAGATGTAAGTAAAATCTAACTTTTGAAAATGTTATCAAAATATGTATTCATGTGAACAATTTTATTTTTTTATTTGAATTGACTATACTATTTAAACTTACCCAAGTGTACATGACACTTATTTAATCTGATAACATTAACCAGTGCTATCACTTTTTAAAAAACTCTCCTGGGCCTTCAAATGGCTCAGTAAAGGTTCTTATCTTCACACCTGAGTTTGAACCCCAGCATCCACATGGTGGAAAGAGTAAACCAAATCCCACAAGTTATCCTCTGACCACCACATGTCAGCACGGCATACAGAAACCCCACAATTCCCCCCAAATGCACAAAGTAAATAAATAAATGGAAAAAAATTAAGCTGTCTTTTTTCCCCTTTAGATAAACTCTCCTTACGTAGCTAAGGGAGGCCTTGAAAGCCTTGAGCTCCCCCTGCCTCAGGCTCTTTAGGTCCTGGAATTACAGGTACGCATCATCGAACACAGCTCAGAAAACAGGAATGAATGAATGAATGATCAACAGAAATCAGACTTGTCTGAGAGTAGATTTTAAGCTATGATTCCCTTTCTTTCTGTTTGTGACAATATTACTTGCAGCACATGGGGACTGATTTGGTCCTATCAGCCTTGAAGTTCCAGGATTTATTTCTTTATAATTCACAAAAACTGAGACTATGAATTGGCTTTTCAGATTCAAACATGAGATGACATCTGCAACTACTACAGAATAATCTTTGGGAGAAAGAGACTACATTCTAACTAGAGAAATAAATATTTGAAAGACGGGGGGTGGGGGGAGCCAAAAAGCGCTAGGACAAGTCTGGAGAGTAGGTAGGCTTCCTGTGAAAGGAGAGAGCTGCATTCCGACGGTGCCATTTTGGCCAACCCAAGGTGAGAGAAGACCTTCCAGGTTGGGGAAATGAAATACATGGTGAAGGAAGGACTCTGGGGGTAGGCGCTAATTCTAGAACTGCATACTTGCTCAAATTTCGGAAAGTATTTTTATACATGGAAAATGGGATAAGGTCGTTTAAAAAGTAATTAAAAAACAATTCAGGCTGCTTCAGTGTGTCATTTCCCTAAAGAACACATTATCTCCACAGAGACTAATGAGTAGTTATTATATGTGGATCTATATTTGTTTCAACTGTGGAAATTTTGGCAGACAAGCCTCTTGAAATTTAGCCCCATGATCTTAATCGTTTGAAAAGGAAATTTTAAATTATGATTAAAATTCTGTGTTAAAGCATCGATAATCACAAAGATAATTGTTAATGGTATTTTAAAAGTCAAAGAAAACATCACACTACATCTTCAACTGCCTACAGTGTCTGGCTGAGGCTGTATGCCCCTCTTTAATCAAGAACCCCTAACTCAGTCTGAAAAGATTAGCAAGTAAAGCAATACTCTGTCTCTCCCCCATTTCTATGGTTTGTTGTTACCTTAGTGGAGTAAAACAGTTTTCAAATGTATGTTTTAATGACAAAAGTTTGTAAGCATGAAACACAACGTGACATTTTGATATATGTTCAACTTGTGGCATGCTTACCTCACACTAATGTGCTTTACCTCACCTTGTTATTGTGTGCATGTGTGTACTATTAGTAATGTCCAGCTACGCTACGTATTACTGACTCTAGTCACCACAGTGCACAGATGGCTGAAACTTTGTCTTGTTGTGCTGAAATTTTGTACCTTTTGATCAACAGCTCATTTCCTCCCTCTCCTGCCAGCCTCTGGTATCCACCGATCTAATTTCTGTTTCTACTATTATAACTTCAGAGTCTACACATGGGTGGGCTAAGTCATTACATCAGCAGCAGCAGGTGTAGAAGTGGAATATAGCCTACCACTCTTGAGAAGGTCCATGGAGAAGTTGTAAACTTCATGTTTCAGCTGCTTGATCTGAGGAGACTCTTTGCTGATCGCCACATTGATGAGAAGGCCATGCTGGGGCTTGTGAGTGATGCTGAAGAGCAGGGGGTCCTTGGGAACATCTCTGTCAGCAGCAGTGATGACGGAAGAATCCAGCTCTACCATCTGACCCTCACACACCTGAGCAGGAGCAAGCCAGCAGAGACAGCGGTATGAAATAGAACCTTTTTCCCCATGTCTTTTCAAAAGCTGCTGGAAAAAAAAATCCACCCCACTTATATGAAGATGTCCTATTTCAAATTTTCCATGACATTTTCAGATACTGGGTTCTAGAAAGAGAAATTTCCAGTTAACAGGAATGTAAAAAGAAATCTATTCATCTTCCTCAGATCTTTTTAAAAGATTCAAAGTCCTCTTTAGTTCCATGCACAACAAAGGGTGCATGACAGAAACATCTCTGTGGGGCCCATGAGTTGGCTAGGTAGGTGAAGGTCTTGGCGACAGGAGTTCACTTCCTGAAACTCATATGAAAGTGGAGAGGAATACGTGCACCAAGCTGCCCTCCAGCCTAAACCCTGGGCTATGGTATGCATGCCCCTCATCATTCACATCTATATTTGAGCACAAACAAATACAATCAAAAAACTGTTGTAAAATTAAGACGATTTATGCTGCTAATGATTCAAAGGTTGGTGCTGGGGAAGCAAGCAAAAGTATGCTTACTCTCTGGAAGTCAGGAAAGGTCAGTGTAAAAGTGAATCTGGAGTCTTTACTTCAGACACTAATTGGTTATTTAACTCAAGCCCTTGTTTCTACAACTTTTAGGTTTCTGTCTGCTTTGGAAGTAGCAAGTATCTACTGCATACACCAGAGCAAATTTGGTGTTTCTTTTTTTAAATTTTTTATATTTTAAAAATCACACACATTTATGCAATGCATATTGATCATATTCATCCATCACTACCCCTTCCTACTCCTCTTAGTGCCCCCATCTCCTCCCCAACTTCATGTCCTTTTTTATTGTCCAATATTTGGAGTTTTACATTTTTATTATCATAGTAGATATTTTTATTTCAAGTGCTGGGGAGGCGGCTCAGCAGGTACAAGTTCTTACTGTAAAACTTCAAGGAGCTGAGTTCAACTCCCAATAAAAAGCTGGGTGTGGCTGTGAGAGCTCTGACAGCCTCAGTGCTAGGGAGGGCTGAGAAAGCAAGCTCTCTCTCTGGGTCTTGCTGGCTACTAGCCTAGCTCCAGGTTCAGTGGGAGACCTTGTCTCAAGGGAATAAGGAAGAGAACGATAGAGCAGGATACCTGACATCGTCCTCCTACATACATAAACACACAGACACAGACACACACAGACACAGACACAGACACACACACACACACACACACACACACACACACACACACACGCACACACACTCACACCACAGTGAAGTGCTTATTGCCTCAAGAAAGCTTTAGTTATATAGAACTTGGCCATTTTGCCTTTTTTTCTTTTCCTTTCTCAGAGAGAAGATAAGACAAGGAAATTTTTGTTTTCTGTTCTGAAATACAGCAAGATTTAAGTAATAAAAGCACACAAATTCTATACCTGCCTCCTGAGGATCTGCAAGGCCACTTGCTACATTATGGAGGTAGTAGAGGTATTCTCAAGAATCAAAGGCAGGAGGGACTGAGAAGACCTGTCTACCAATAGTGTAGTCAAGGAAGGAGTACCAAGAGCCACTGAGCACCAAGGAACAAGAACTATGGAAGAGTGGAGGCCAGCAGGCTATCTTCACAGCCGAGGGGATCACTTCATGAGAGCCTCTGTTTGCTTTCCAGCTCCCCGCACTGGCCCTGGAGGGGCTGTTCCTGCAGGTGCACTGTGGTATTGGGACAAAAACAATGCTGCTCTTACCTGACCTTTTTAATTAAAGACCAAAAAAGCATCTTGGATTAATTCCTAATGAGAAACATATTGAATCACTTTAGCCAGTGTCTCACTTTCCCCACCCTGAAGAACTTGAGTAAAGCAGTTTAAAAACATGCTGTAATTCTCCTTAGAATTATAGAGTTTAACTATGAAGCCTTTTCCCCTTGACTGTGTGATAATGTATATCATTTACAAAATGGTAAATTTATTTACAAGATTACCAGGGAATTTCCTAAAACAAAACCCAAAAAACTACAAGATTCTTTTTTTGGAAATTGAATTGTTTCTTGACATTATGAAAATAAATAGTCTAAATGAATATACATAAAAAGCAGATATTTACCACTAAACAGGTTTACAAAGGGTTATAATAAACTAAAACATTTTGATGGTAGCCCAACTATCTGTACAATAAGGAAATTTTCCAACAGGAAAGCCCAATGTGTTATATGAAGAAGAAAAAAAAATTCTTGAAGCTTAAAAGTTGTCTCTGCCAATGCTCAAGGGTCTGTGTCTGATTTGCATGTATGAGGAAGCATGGGGGAAAGACATGATTACTTCCACAAAGGAATAAGGGACAACTTCCCAGAGGCCTAATTATTCCAGAAGCTCTTGCTCCAGGCAGATAAAGACAGTAGAAATAGGTGCAGAAGTGATCATTTATTGTTTTTTTTTTTCCTTCACATAATCACTGAAGGGCTCTCCAGAGTAAACCTTGAGCCAAAAGAAGAGGGCAAGCAGGAGTTGGCTCTTAAATCTCATGCTGAGGTGACGCTCATGTGCTGTTAAGATTCAGTAGAAAATTAAAATCAAATAAAGACTTTCACATTTAGAATGTGATTATTTTTAGCAAAAAGAATGAGGAGAAATAATGGCTTTGGTCAACATTAGAAAAAAAATGATACATTAAATAGTACTGAAAACACTTGTTCACTAAGGACCTACTATGCTTGGCCAACTCAATCATCATAACAGTTTCTCGAAGAAAATTACATGTGTATTTTTGAAGATGGGGAAACAGAAGCTTGAAGAGAAATAACCTGCCCAAGATGCAAAAATTATTCGACGCAATACACAAGTTCCTTTGAGGCCAAGCCTGTGTGTGTGTTCATTCAACTTGCTAGTGCATGTGTATGAATTAAATAATCATACATAGACATGCAGGACATTTAAAAGGAATTACATATTGATAAGAAAAGATTTCACATAAATACTTAAGTTGTGCTTTAGAAAGTAAAGCATAGAGTAGTGGGTATGATTCTCTTATTTGTAAGTAAAAATATACAGAAAAATTATAGTATACAGACATAATTCTGGCATGTCCATAAATCTCTTGGGTTACTTGGTTAACCTGTTTATGCCTCATTTCTTCAGTAATGAAATGGCAATAAAAACACCATCACCCTAAAAGCCTATTGTGAGGATTAACTATGAATACCCAGAAAGGACTTGAAACCTAAAGCCCAGTAGGTACTCTATTACACACACACACACACACACACACACACACACACACACACACACACACACCTTTACCGTTACAATTAGTACTAGGTTAATAATTCACAGTGATTAATTATATGGCATAAGATTCTGCTTTCCTCACTGTTCACCAAATTAACATATTAGGTGCACCTGGATCAACATAAAGGGGTTGTCTAGGGGAAAAAAAATCAGAAATAGGTTAAAAAAAAAAAAGGAACATTCTGGTATGCTTCTTACAGTGATATTCTGTACCACAAAGTCGGGAGCTTCATCATTTGTGGGGTTGATGTTAACATGAAATGTCGTCTCTAAGGAGCGTCGCTTCCCATCTGTGGCATACACCATGAACTGGTCGGCAGTTGGTTCCACCCTCAGGTGCCTGGACTGCACGTAGTTAATGTGCAAAGCCTTCATGTCTCTCCACTGGAACGAAGCTAGCACACCCCAAGACAGAACAGGGAAATGATAAACAGCACTACCCAGGAATCTCCAGTCTTCAACAGCTGCTTCTCTGGAAAGCAGATACACAATCATAGTGGGGACTGGTGTGGTCCCACCAGCCATCAACAGAAAGGCGGGTACCACAGATCTGAAAGAAGGATGCAAATCTGCCTGAAGAACGAAATTGTGATGACCACTAATCAGGATGCGGGAGACTTCATGGTCACTCTCCAGACACCTGAATTGAAAGTCACAGAGGACTGCCCTTGACTAAACTGTCCTTCTGACATGTGGCTCTTCTCATACTGGGCTGAGAAGGTGCCACTTCGTTGACACAAAGGCAAAATGAGTGGAGATCCATGTCTATGTAACAGACATCAAGAAACTCACTGCACTGAGGAGAATTAGTTGACTTGATGTTCAGCTAGCCCTAAATCAGAAGAGGAAAATTGCCATAGGGTATGAATTAAATCAAAAGAAAAGCTGCATGACCTTTAACTTGATTAATCTTAAATCTCATCTCACTCACATTTAAAATAAGAAATTTCTTTAAAGGAGCTTGAAAAATAACTTACTTAAAAAGTATTATCATCAGAAGATTTGAGTTTTGCTTTCTGTTTATGTTTTGTTTTATTAAGTGCTATTCTGGTTGCTGAGAAACATTAGCTTTCCAAATTAAGCTGGGCAGTGAAAACACATGCCTTTAATCCCAGCATTTGGGAAGCAGAGGCAGGAGGATCTCCAAGTTCGAGGCTAGCCTGGTCTACAAAGTGATTTCTAGGACAGCAAATTCCAAGAGCGTGCATACATATGCTTAATTTTTTCTGTGAGACAGGATATATACATAATGTCTATTTTAGAGATGACTTTCTGGAAAACAAGTAAGGTTAAATGTGTAAAATGGTCTCCGTGATAAACGCTACTCAGAGACACTCTGTCTCAGAAAACACAAACACAAAAACAACAACAAAAGATTGATGTAATCTACTTGAACATTTCAAGTTTTCTCTTTCAGTACCACTGATAGCATATTTCTCAGTATTTTCCAGGATTATCTATTAAAAATGCTAAAAGACTGTGAGAATGAGACCCTGTGGTTCCTACCAGATTAATTCTGTCACAGGACTGTGTTGCCAGGAGGGCCTTGGAAAAGGTAAGTACTTCAGTTTTTGAATCCATGCCCATTTCCTAAGCTTAGCCCAGCTAGTCACATCCATGAACCCTAGCAAGACATTGCGGGCCAGGAGACGAGGACTTACCTATGCTTATGCCCCTGTTACTTTTCTCAAAACCTGCAGAAGGGAGTGTGTTTTCAAGATAGCCGAACTGGGGAGGAGAAACCAAAACAAATTCTAAGTCATCCGGGGCGGTGTCTGGGTCAGTGGCAGTCAAATGATGAGTGGTAAGGGCTGCCTGGAAGCCTTCATCCACCACGAACGTCCTACCTGGGTACCAAGAACAATAGTCACAGGCCAGTGAAATGGCTCAGTGGTCAAGGCGCCTGCTGCCGGGCCTGATGACCTGAGATCAATCCCCAGAACACACACTCACAAAGCAAGTAAATGAACATGTAATAAAATGTAAAAACACACACTTCTGTCAGCCTGAACTCCTCCATCACAAGAGTGAGAACTAAAGGCAGTCATTGCAATCCCAGCTAGAGCGGCCTCCCACGGGCAAACACGCTTCCATGGGAGACTCTCATTTTCTTGGGCATAAATTCTCTTTGCAGTAAAAAATTCAGGGGTAACGAGTGGGATTTAATTTGACTTATGGAATTGTATACTTCTTTCTCGTACAAGCCAGCCAGATGATAATGGAAAGGCGGCGGCGGCGGCGGCGATGCTGAACGCTCTGCTACAGCCCTCCAGTCATTCTCAAGGAACCTGATTTCCCTTGTGTCTCGATAGAAGTGACAAATGAAAATAAGAATTGCCAAACTGTTTTAATGATAAGCCACTAAATGGAGTTTATGTACTCCTCAAGATCAGTCGTTACCACTGTTTGTCAGAGTGCTAATTGCCGGAGAGCGATTATGAATTGCTCATAACGAACATTTTTTCATGCCTTGGTGCTTAATTATTCTACTGGGATAATGCTTCCTGACCAGAAAATTGCTTGGGAGATAGTTAGCAAATTACAAGCGCGTTCATACATATGCTTATTTTTTCTGTGAGACAGGACATATACATAATGCCTACGAAGAGATGACTTTCTGGAAAACA